AGTTGCTTTGTGTATTTGGGTGCTCCCATGTTTGGTACATAAATATTTATAATTATTATATCTTCTTGCTGGATTGTTGCACTCATGATTTTGTAGTGTCCTCTTGTTACAGTTTTTGTTTTAAAGTCTGTTTTGTCTGATACATGTATTGTTATCCCAGCTTTCTTTGCACTTCCATTTGTATGGTAAATCCTTCTCTATGCCTTCAGTTTCCATCTGCATGTGTTGTTAGGCCTGAAATGAATCTCTTGTAGGTGACATAGGGATGGGTCTTATTTTTTATCCATTCTATCACCCTTTGTCTTTCAATTGGAGCCTTAGTCCATTTACATTCAAAGTAAATATGGATAGGTATGTACTTATTGATATTCTGTTATTTGTTTTATGGTTCTTTTTGTAGTTCTTCTCTGTTCTTTTATTTTTTTGTTCTCACAGTTTACTAGCTTTCTTTAGTGATATGCAAAAGACAAAGAGAAAGAAATCCAAGTGTATCTATTACTGGTTTTTGATTTGTGGTTACCATTAGCTTTATATTTAACATATTATACACATAACTATATATTAATTTGATAGTTGCTTAAGTTTGAACCCATTCTAAATGCACTGAATTTATACTCCTTTCTTGCAACATTTTAGGTATATGGGGTCATACTTTAATTTTGTGAATCCTTTGATTTTTGTAGATATACTTAATGTTACTGTTTTTGTGCTTCCTACTTTTCTTACTACTGCTTATGGTCTTTCCTTTCCATTCAGAGTCCCCTTTTGTTTCTTGTAGGGCTGGTTTAATGGTCATGAATTCCATTAACTTTTGTTTGGGAAACTCTATCTCTCTGTCTATATTGAATGATAGCCTTGCTGGATGGAGTATTCTTGGCTGCAGATTTTTTTTCTTTCAGCACTTTGAATATCTTACCCCTCTGGTCTGCAAAATTTCTGCTGAAAAATCAGCTGATAGTCTTATGGGGTTGCCCTTATATAGAACTATCTTCCTTTTTCTTGCTAATTTTAAATTTTTCTCTTCATCATATCATAACATTTTAATTACTATATGTCTTGATGTGAACTTGCTTGGGTTGATTTTGTTGGGGGCTCTCTCTGCTTCTTGGGTCTGCATTTCTGTCCCATTTTCTAGATTTGGGAAGTTTTCATCTATTATTTCTTCAAATAAATTTTCTTCCCCCTTTTCTCTCTCTTCTTCTGGGATCCCTGTAATATTAATGTTATTATGCTTGATTGTGTTTGTGACTTCCCTTAATTGGTCCTCATATTATTCTTTTTTTCTTTTTCCTGTTCAGCTTGATTTCTTTCTATTACTCTGTCCTCCAGGTCCTGATCCATCCTTCTGCTTCCTCTAGTCTACTATTTATTCACTCCAGTGTATTTTTAATTTCAGTTATTGAGTTATTTACTTATGCTTGTTTCTTTTTTATGTTTTCTGTCTTTTTGTTGAGGGTCTTGCTGAGATCCTCCACTCTTGTTCAAGTCCGGTAAGTATCTTTATGACCATTACTTTAAATTCTCTATTTCCATTTTGTTTATCTCTCTTGCATTTGGGACATAGTCCTATGTCTCCTCATTTTGTGTCTGTTTCCATGTGTTAAGAAAGTCAGCTAGATCTTCTGCTCTTGAAAGTAGTGGTCTTATGAAGAAGAGTTCCTGTTGTGCCCTGCAATGCAATGTCCCCTATTCACCAGAACCTGGCACTTCAGGGGTATCTTTAAGGTGTGTTGTGTGCCCCCTACTGATGTGGCTGAACTGTGTTTGCCTTAAGTCCAGTCATGTGTAATAACGCTCTCTCTTTTGTGGGCAGGGTTTCGTCCCTCTATTGTTAATGCACTAATCTAGAGCCACCTTGGGCTTGAGGTGGGACAGACCAGGTTACTATAGCTGTGGTCATACAGAACTGCAAGGTGTTTGCCTGTGTTGTCTCCTGAGAAACTTTCACTGGAGGCCAGGGCCTGCAGTCATATAGATGTCTGCCCCCAGCCTACTGGTGGGCCATAGTCAAATGCTGCATGTGGTTATCTTCCTTTGTCCCTGGGGTTGGAGTCACTTCAGAATGGTGCTGGCTCTTATTGGGGCTGCTTGCACACTGCCATGCTTGTGGAACCACTTTGAATGGACTTCTGCCAAAGGCAGGTTGTATGGAGAAGTCAGCAGGAGAGGGCAGGTTTAGGGTACATAGTGTTAGCAAGGTTTGTGTTATTCTGCTTGTGGGAGGGGAGCTGTAGCAATTTTGGAGAATTTCTGCTGAGGACAGCTTGGAGAGGGGGTGTCCACAGAAGAGCATGTGGAGTTTGTTTGCAAACTAGGTGGACACTGTTCATACTGGTTCCCACAGGTGGTCATGTATGTAGGCTGGGGATGTGGGAGGGCAATGGCACCCACCCACTCTTTTGTTCTTGGAGAAGTCTCTTGAAGATCCCTGCCCCTCCAGCATGTTCTGAGAGTCCTGAGATTAGTAAGTAAACCTCCATCCCAAGGAGTGTATATGCAAAGCATTTTTCAAACTGCTGCTTCTAGGCTGTATCTCAGAGAGGTCACTTGTTTTGCTATCTCTTTAAGGGCAGGAACTCCATTTCCTATCATCCTTAGGTTCTTCCTAAGCCTAGCCTACTGATTTTTAAAATTTAGATGTAAGGCCCCACTGATTGTAAAAACTCACAAAGTTAAAACTCTATTTTTCAAAGCCAGTGTTTCCCAGTGTGAGTCCCCATGCCTGGGGTGCGTAGGGCAGGCTCTGTTCCTCTCCCTTCTCTGTGCCTGCAGTGTCCCTCCCTCTCACAATCTACCAAGTCAGTTTGGTTCCTGATCATGTTTCCAGCCTTCTTACCTTTTTCAATGTGGCCTTTTTTCTACATTTAATGGTTGGGAAGGCAGTTCTGTCAGTCTTGGGTAGGTCATTTTATGGGTTATTTACACTGATGTGGATATTATCTTGGTGTATCCATGGGATATCGTAAACTTACAAGCATCTTCCCCGGAATTCTCCTAAAAAGGATATTTTTGAAATAAAGTGTTTTTAAAAATGAAATGATAAAGGAATCAATGTAATTGTTTTTGTCACTTTCACTTGTATGATATTGATAGTAGTAACTGGACATTATAAGACAACTCTGTAGATTCTCAACAATTGATCAATATTTCCTTCCTCCCCTTTCTCAACTACTCTAGGAAGATAAGCTTCATTATATATTACAGGAATACCTTGAAGATACTGTGGGTTTGGTTCCAGACTGCTATAGTAATATGGATCAAATGAATTTTTTGGTTTTCCAGTGCATAGAAAAGTTATGTTTACACTATACTACAGTCTATTAAGTGTCCAATAGTATTATGTAAAAAACCCATGATGTACATACCTTAATTTAAAAATATTTTATAAAACTAATAACTGTTATCTGATCTTTCAGCAAGTCATAATCACAGATCACCATAACAAATATAATAATAAAATTTGAAAAATTGTGACACAGAAAATGAAGTGAGCAAATGCTATTGGAAAAATGGCACTGATAGACTTGTTCAATGCAGGGTTGCCACAAACCTTCAATATGTAAAAAATGGAATATCTGTGAAGCTTAATAAAATGAGACTTAATAAAATGAGGTATGACTATATATGACTGTTGTTCACATTTCTCTTCCCTTTAAAACAGGATGTTTCTTTTCTGTTGTTGATATTATAAATTTGAAGAAAATAACACAAAGATATACTAATTACATATCGTGCACACAAAAAATGTATGTGTGTGTGTATATACATATACACATACACATATTAAATAATATATTTGTATAATAAAACTAGCAGCAAAAGAGTTTGGACCACGATAGACCCCTGTCCCAAATAATATTCTCTGAGAAAAATAATTCAATCCCTGATGCCACTAAACAATCACCTACTCTTTGTATATTGAAATACACAAATTACAGAAATAAAAAAATTTTCTTGTACTATTTCTCCCCTCTCTGTGCCTTAGGGATGATAGTACGTAGATAACAATAGGTACAGGTAAAGTATATAAGTGATGAGTAGATAGAAGAGAGACAGATAACTGTAGTTGGTCTTTTAACGGTCTCTACAGTATGGAAAATAAAGCCACTAATCCAGAAAGTATGAAGAGAATACTCAAAGTAGAGCAAGTCTGAGAAGCTATAAAATGATAGCTCACTTTTAGGTAAGTTATTCTATTATAGATTGTCTGATATGTATTTAGAATAGAAAAGCATGGTAAGCTATTTTATTTTCCTGACTTACTGCTAGTGCAATAATATTCAAAAACAATGTGTTTGACACTGATCATCACATAAGATGGTTACAAGTTTATGCTATTAAAACCTATTAATTTTATAAAGAAATAAACATGCAAGAGGCATTTTTTTTTGTCATCAGAATATATAACCCAATCTACTTTGTCCATATTCTGATCCTTCTCTTCTGTACCCTTCCTCCCAACTATAAGTTTAGTAGATATAAATGGCATTTAAACTAGAAAGGATCAGGGGCTTACTTTACTTGGATGAAAAGCAGATTATATATTGCACATGAGATTTATATATTCCTTAGAATCTTGGATTTGATGGGCTAGAAAAAGCATATCCTTCAATTTTATATTTTAGGTACAGACCACCTCATGTTTTTGCCTCAGTAACGTTTACAAGCATGTCATACCATTCCTTTCAAGAATCCATAAAAACCAGCACCATCATTTAAGATTTTTTTTTTTTTTAAGTAGGCTCTTTTCTCAGATTTTGAAACATCTCTTTGCACAGCATGGGGAACACAAATAACTTTGGCTTTAAAACCACTAAACCCCATGTATGCTCAATGCAATGCACAATGTTTGTTAGCCATTTATTTTATGACATTTGTAAGTGAACATTATATGATGCTATCTCCAAATAGGGGTGTTTATAGAGCTGATGAGAAAGTAGAATGAAGACAGTTAGTAAACTGCCAATTAACAGAAACCAAAACATACAGAGAATGAAGAACTCCAAGAGAGAATAATGATGACATGGATGAAAATAAATGCAATATCATGTGATGTTTCAGACATATAATTTTAATTAGCAATAATCGCGCCTCGGATAAACCTCATTGGCTACGATACTGCCACTGCGCAAAGCTCAGACATATAATTTTAAATGAATGTAGAATCTCCTCTCATCCTTTATATTTTAAAGGTGGGTTCATTCTTTTAAATGAAAGCTTTAAAACATTTTAGATATTCTAATATTCATGTTAGCATTTAAATATTTGTTATTAAGTCCTTAGAAATAAAGTAAAATGAGCAATAAGATTAAGGATTATTATATTGTCCCTCTTTTCTTCCTCACTTGTATATTTTGTTCAGTGTGCTGGTCATTAGCATATCTGGTTGCTAATTTGAAAATTTTTATGTAATGTTTTTATTTCTTGAAGAAATTATTATAAAATACATTATTTGCTAGTAGGAAATTCTCCTTATTTGTATTTTAAACACATATTTAACCTTTGCAACTCTTTTTTTCTTACAATCTCAAGCTGGAGCTGGGAATTTATAAAATTGTAGCTCATTAATATTAGGTGAAGGTTCATAAAAAAAGGATCTATTTGGTCAAGCTTCAGCTGGTGTATCACGATCCAAAAGTAGCATCATAATCACACATCATATAATAGTGATGTTTAAATATGAACAATTTATCTGGTGATGTAGCATTTCTAGTCATCTATCACTCCTATTTCTCTCCAACATAAATCATAACTTCCTCAATCCTCAAAACCTCTTGTTCATAAGTAGCATATTTGCCTATTATTCCCTGATTGGCTTTTAAGAATTTTGATCCCTTTGTTGCTAAGTTTAATGCTTCCCTAATATATTTATTATTTCCATAAACTCAGTCTTCTCCAAAGTGTCCTTTGGAAACTACCGTTTTCTTAAGTTCTTTTGGCAACTCAAACTTTTCCTATTAGTTTCCTTCTACTTCCTAATAACAACTAAATGCCTGCTTACTTCAGGTGATAATATATTCAAAACCCCTTATTCCAAATAGGATATTCTTATTCCCTTTCTGGGTGACTCACATGAAGGAAGTAAAATATACTTCAGTACCCTTGATTACTTTTTACAGAAATCAGTGTTACCATATATTCATTGTTTAACTAAAAAGAACTCACAGTTGACCTCTGCTGTAAATCAGTTCTGTGCCCTACTTAGGTTTATTGGAACACCTTGATCTTTTTTCTCTTTTTTTCTTCTGAGTTATCAATCCTGGATAAAATTCTAACAAAATATATGTAAAGCAGTCTTACATAATACATGAGATTTAACTGAATAGAGAAGTCTTGAATTTTTAAAATTCAAAATAATAAAAAGAATTTTGGGGGAAAAAAGAAATTGCCTGAGTTTTAGGAGTCTGACTCAAGTTGAAAACTAACCTTATGAATAAACAGAAAATTATAAATAAATAAGTAGTTAGGTAGAGAAATAAGTTAAAATAGACTAGGTAAAATAGCTGTTTATAGCAGACGTGCTTGAGATTCTGATTTTCAATTTAAATTAAGCTACCCTTGTTAATCTTTTTTTTTTTTTTTAAGATTTTATTTATTTATTTGACAGAGAAAGACACAGTGAGAGAGGGAACACAAACCGGGAGTGGGAGAGGGAGAAGCAGACTCCCTGCCGAGCAGGGAGCCCGATGCGGGACTCGATCCATGGACTCCAGGATCATGACCTGAGCCGAAGGCAGTCGCTTAACCAACTGAGCCACCCAGGCGCCCTACCCTTGTTAATCTTAAGAGCAACAAAGTGAGTAACTATATATACAGATTCACACAATAGACTAGGTATGGGAGAGCGATCCCTGGTGGCCACAGATAATAGGCCCCATAGTTTTAATATTTTCTTTAATAGGCATATTTTTATAATGGAGGCTAAAATGGTATCAGTTATTAGTTTGATAACAAATAGAACTAAAATCAAATACCTTTGATACATTTTTTGTATCTTGAAATTATTAAATACATCAAGAGATCTAAAGATGATGTTGCTAATTTCTAGATTTAGGTGTATTGCTGGAAATTTCTGAGGACATCCTTGGCCTTTATGAACAATACAAGATCTATGAGGTGATGCAGTCTTACAGTCATCTATCTGATGAAACATTCGATTTTTCCAGTTCATCCTTCCCTCATCATCTTTGAAATAACAATTTTCAGGAAAATCGAGGTTTGGTAATCAGAAAAATACCACTGTTTATAATATTATTCCATTTGTAAAAGCTGAAAGACACCTCTCAATTATGTAATTTCAGACATAAATTGAGGGAAATTAAAAAATGAGTGATAGCACATGAGAATAATTAAACTTTTGCTTGTGGGTTGGCTTCACTTTTTATTTTGGTGTGTTTTGATTATTAAATTTAAAGATTTTTATTTATTTATTTGAGACAGAATGAGAGAGAGAGAGCACATGAGAGGGGGGAGGGTCAGAGGCAGAAGCAGGCTCCCCGCCGAGCAGGGAGCCCGATGCGGGACTCGATCCTGGGACTCCAGGATCATGACCTGAGCCGAAGGCAGTCGCCTAACCAACTGAGCCACCCAGGCGCCCCGTGATTATTAAATTTAGACAAACAGATGAACACAGAAGAAGGGAAGGAAAAATAGATAAAAACAGGGAGGCAAACCATGAGAGACTCTTAACTATAGGAAACAAACTGAAGTTGCTGAGGCGAAGTGGGTGGGGGGAAGTGGTAATGGGGTGATGGGCATTAAGGAGGGCACTTGATATAATGAGCACTGGGTGTTATATGCAACTGATGAATCACTAAATTCTATCCCTGAAACAAATAATAACTATATGTTAATTAAATGCATTTAAATATTTTTTTTTTAACTTAGAGACAATAGTAAATTAGAGGGAGATGTGTGACCTAAGTCAACTACATCAGTACAGCAATTCTATACAGAGACTCAAAATGAATTATTATTCCTATGCTGACAGTGGAGGTATCTTCATTTTCTCATCACATTTCTATTTGATAATGCCACCAACTACCAATTTATCTACTTCAGCTTAGGCTCTCTTCTTGGATTTAGACCTAAGGGCTGTACATACGTAACTAATTACTCTTGGAATTTCTGGTCCTGTTATAAATATTTTGAGACCAATTGGCTGCTATTGTCTTTTCAGTTGTATTGTTCCCCACTTAAATTTAGGGAGCCAGTTGCCTCCTCACTCTTTTCCCCATAGATTACTAAAATCAACTGGTCATAATGTAATAATCCAAAATGTGAACCAGTTTCCATTTTGACTCCACATAGTCAAGACACACCAGGATCTCTTTGTTGAACTGTTTTCCCAACTATCAGTGGGGTTCAATTAATATATGTAATTACATAGGAGAAAGGAATAAAAAAAATGCTCACAGATTTCTCTCCAAGTCTGGCTCTTTGCCTTCAACACAGGGTTGAGTGAGAAATACGGCAGTAAGCCAAACTGTCTTTCTTCCAAAATCAGCCACAATAGAATCTGCTGGATTGAAATAGAACATTAGGAGTTTAGTTTGGCACTCAGTACTTTCGGGCAGTTCTATATTTGTGACATGATTTACTGGGCCAATCGCCCAAAGAAGCTCTGTGTCTGGCTGCCCAGTTTTGAAATACAGAGAAGAGTTCATGACCACCATGCTTTGTAAACCTACATTTCTGAAAATTATGTTTCTTTATTTAAAAAGGCTGTGAGATAGCCAGATGTGTGTATTGGGGAAAATCAACCATTTTGTGAAAAGGCTTTTGTGCACAATTTCTAAAAACCATCAGTATCACTTGAATTGGTTACACATTGCTTTCTGGCAGAGTAATTTCTGTATATATATAGTTGGCTAAAAATGATCAGCATTGAAATTTCATTCAAAGATTCTACAAATGTATCATTCGTGCTATTGTGTTTTATTAAATACACTGTTAGGAAAACTATGTGGCCCAGTGGAAAGAACATGAACTTTGTGTCAGGTACGAATCCAAATTTGTTCACATACTTGCTGTGAAAGCACGGACAAATTTACTAACTAAATTTCTCAAGATTTACTTTTCTAATCATTTGTAAAATTGCCTCATTGGGTGGTGGTAGGATTATATCAGTTAACCTATGCAAATCCTGACAGCAACACCCCATGAGTTATTGTTACTTTACCCACTTTTAAACTAAGGAAATTAAAGCTTCAGTAATTTTTTCATGGTCAGAAATGAGACAGGTGGCCATGCTCATGTTTAAATGCAGACAAAGTGACCTCCAAACCCAAAATATATCTAAACAAGCATTATCCCTTTTAATATCAGCTTACTTATCTGTTCATGAACATCTTATTTTTAATGTCATTGATATTGTTGTCTCATAGTCATTGGATTCATTAAATTATCATACAATTATCATTGTTGCCATCATTATAAACGTAAATTCTCAAATGTAGAGCACCATTCATGATATAGTTCTACAACCTCCTAGCCATGTAAACTTGGGCAAGTTACAACTTTTCTAAACCTCAGTTTTCTCATTTTCAAATTGGAAGGGTTATTTTTACCTTCATCATAGTGTCACTGTTAGGTTTAACTAAAAATATTTAAGTAAATATTTGGAGGAATAAATATGTATATGGTTATTGTAAAATATGATTAGCAGTAAAAATTTGATTATCAATAGGATGAAGTATAACTCTTAAAGAGTATTTGGCCTTAATGGGTGTTCAATAATGACAGGTTTTACTAAGTTCTTTTAGATTTGGATTTAAGTTAATTCTCAAATCAAAATGCATCAAGTTTAAGCCAGTATATTATAATTATAAAGTGCTAGATAGTCAAAAAATTCTAAGTTGAGACTTAGCATTGCCACTAACAAATTATGTGATCATTTGCTAAAGTTGTAACAAGTCTGAACCTCATCTTCATCAAAATCTTCATAAATGTTAAGCAGAAACTTCTCTACTTACCACCAAGAATGGTGGAAAGAATTATATTAATAAAAATACAAACTAAAATCCAATATTGAGGTGACACTATTTTCTAATAGATATTGTCCTAGTCTTTGGGTGGAAATGGGGAAGATGACTAGACATGTCTCTGGATCAAATCCTGCGAGTGATGAGTCTGAT